ATCATTTACAAGCTTTCCACTCAAGTTTTAAGTTCTGATAATTTTGGTATTTAGTGCTTTTCCCTTTGTGCACATAAATGATGTCTGTTTTGGGTTGATGGAGCTCTTGTGCCTTAATTCCTTATTTTTGCTGCAGTGCTATTAAAAAATAAAATTTGAGACTTTTGTACCATACTTCGATAATAGCCTCACATGACACTTTCTAATTATATCCTTTAGGCTTTTTCCAAAAAATGGGATTCCCTTTGTATTCCATGTCTCTGGAAACACTTGTCCTAACTAGATTTTAGGGCTTGTTAGTCTTGTTAACTCCTTGAGGTTGTGGATGGGAACTTAGTAATGCGTGTAGCATGAGCACGCAGTAGTCACTCAGCGCCCTCTACTCATATCCTGGCATTATTTTCTTCTTGACAGTTTCTGATGAGAAATGAGTCTAGTCTGGGTTCTGATTCTCCTGCTGCTTCCAACTGGGTATGTCTCTGTTTCCCCTCTGTGACCCTGCTGCCCTTGGAGGGCGGGGCTTTCTGATTTCTGGGGCCTTTGTGTTCATTCTCCCACGTACTCTTATTGAGCACCCTCGCCGGGCAGAGTGCTGGGTCAGACACTGGGGCACAGCCGGGGAGAAGCAGCTTGCCTGGGACTCCCACATGACTGTCTCCGTGTCTTCCCCTGCTCTGAGTTCAGAATTCTGACCCCAAGTCACGTTAATCCGATTATGATCTAACCTTGATCACTGGTAGACATTTTGTAAAGGTTTTAGGGTTAGCGTACATAAAATAGGCTTTTCAGCTTGAACTCAACAGTGCTTGTTCACAGGCTAAGGCACGGTGTAAGGGAAAAATGGAACCATTTGTGTGAGCCGAGTTTGACTTATTACCACTGATAATTGCCATTCGGCTGCATTTTTAACTTGGTCATTTTGTCAGGAAGATAAATCAGGCATTGCTCCTCAGATCCTCAGGTAATTAGGAAGGTTGGCAAAGCCCCCGTTTTTCTTGAATTAAATGTTTATTACCTGATTTGTAATATGGAATTAAATATGTTAAATGAAGGAAAGGCTTTTAAAATTTTTTTGAAAGACAGTTGCAACTTAAGCGTGTGGGCAAAGTTATTTTTAGTGGCTTGTTTTGCATATGTATTTATGAATTTTAAACTTTTTCTGATCACAAATGTTATACATGTTCGTTAGTAATGTGTAAAACAGGAAAGCATAAAGAAATAAGACACCTAGGGGGATCACTGTTAATATTTAGGTCACTGTCTAGGCTGCCTGGCTTGCCAAATAAGTGGAGCTTTTATAGAAAAATGGAGACGTTCTGCTTATTTTTTTTTTCCAGTTGGTAACAGCTCGTAACTATTTCCCCATGTTATCAGATAGTGTACTATAGAATGGCTTTGTAGTATTTTATTGTGAAGTATTTCTGTCATAATTTAGTTAGCCAGTCCTTAAATATTGGACATTTACTTGTGCTATAACTAGAATGAATGTAATTATACTCATCTAGTTATTTTCCTAGAACAATGATTTTATTGCATATGCATTGTTAAAGGGATGGCTGTTAAACATTTTAAAATGATTTTGACAAAAAATATCTACCTGGAAATGATGGCAAATATTTCTCTGATCTTCGAATGGGAAGGGACTTTCTAATCACGAAAATATTAGAAGAAATTACAAAAAGGTATTAGATTTACTTCAGGGGGATTAAAAATATATCCTTTATTTCAAGTGGCATAAACATAATGGAAAAAAGCAGTCATTTACTTTTCCTGGGGAAAATGTTTGCAACATGACAAAGGGTTAATGTCTTTATAAGGAGCTCCTCTTACAAATGAATAAGAAAAAAACAAATCTACTGAAAAAATGGATAAAGGGCATTTACGGTTCATAAGAGAACCATGGATGCGTGGATCAAAGAAATCAAGATTGAAACCAGATGTCATTCTTTGCATGTCATATTTGCAAAAGTTAAAAAAGAATTTAGGAATGACAAGTGAGGTTAACATACAGTTTTCTTTCCTTTTGCTTTTTTTGTTAGCTTGTCAGTTTTGCCAGAAGGGATTGGGAGGGTTTCCCATTTCCCATTTCTTACTGGGAAGTTTAGGAAATAACTAGCCTGTGATTCTGTCTGAGCCTGGCAATTTTTGCGGACAGTTCTTTGCTTTTGTAATTTTCTCTATTTGTTTATTTGGTTTTCAAAAAATAGTTTTCCTAAAAATATTGCCCATTTCATCAAGATTTTTAGGTACATATGTGTGCTTCTTTTGTAAGTCCTTTAAAACATACAAACTAAATGTAAAAGCATGAAGAGTCCATAGTGTTTTGTGTTTGCCCTTGTTTTCAGAAGATTTTCTTTGTCATATTCAGCAAGTATCATTTTGATTTTCATTGAAGAGGTTTTTGTTTTTTAAATCAGGAGTAGATGTTTTGTCAGCCTTTTTGGCATCTACTGACTTGATATAATAATTTGGCTGCTCAAAGTTTCCGGCCTGTGGATGGTATTGGCCCTTGGGTTACATCCTTCCTGCTTCTGAAGATCCTTCCTGCTTCTGAAGCATTAACATCCATTTTTAAGGAAATGGTAAAAGACAAAGATGACATTTCTGTGTTATTTCCCCTAAAAGTTTTTGGTGAAGGTGTTTTCTCTATGAGATCAAAGTTTGGAAATCACAGCATATAGTACTTTGGCAAACCCCGGTTAGGAAACAAGAGAAGCACTGTCAACAGTCTCCTGTGAGTTCAGTGGCCTTTACTGGGGAGAGTCAGGTGCTGCAGGCGACGTTTCCTCTGAATTGCTCGCTGGGGCCTGGGCTTTGATCTCAGCCCTGTAGCCTTGTGTGCGAAGGGCCGGTTTTCGTGTTTCCAGAGTCTGGGAGAACCTCAGAAGGGGAGGGGTGTTCTGCTGGTGCTGTGGCAGAGTTCAAGGATGCTCACTGATAACTCAGTCTTGTTTTTGTTGAGTGGCTCCTCCTGCTTCATTCCTTTCTCAAAGATTCCCTTCTCAAAAATACATTTGCATTTTTCCAATATTACAACTTCTGACTCAGTTCTGTGTTTTGATCTCCGATAGTTGTTCAGTGAAGTAGAAAGCTAGTTCTTCCGAATACTCATTTTACCAATCACCTTAAAAAAATACTTGCCCAAAATAAATCTTCATGGGGTCATAGTACCTTCACTTGCTCTTTCAGAATTTTTCTGATTTGTAGCTAAAATGACATTTTGTTAATTTGCACCTTTGCCCTCATGGAGCCTTTTTTTTAGTTAATATTTTTTAGCTCTTTAAAGGATTTACAAAAGAAGCATAAATATGTTGGAAAACAATTCTACCTTGTCAGAATTGTGTACAGTAAATTTCGAAAGTCACACCACCTCTTTACCCCATACACTTCAAGGCGGCTTGATGTTTATCCTTTCTAACCCTTTCCTGTATCCACAAATATGTACTATATAATTATACTTTTAATAAAAGTGGGATTGTACTATACGTATTGTGCAGCTTGCATTTTTCAAAGAGCAGTAAATATTATTACAGTTTATTTAACCGAAAATAAGCTGTTCTTTTAAAGCTTTTCTTTTTGGCTTTTTTTCATGTTCTTTCCATTATTCCTCTTCTTGACTAATCTTCATTGATGGATGTCGCCTTTGTGCCTCCCTTTTGACTCTGTAAATTTTTAATAAACAAAGCTTAAAATAGATTTATGGTTGTGAAGATTTTATTTGGGGGAATAAATTACCCCCCCCCTTTTTTTTTTTGCCTTGCATGCAAAATATTTTTAGAAAGAGGAAAACATGATTTCTGCATTCATATTCTAATCACTTAAAGTGAGTAATATTTTTTGTCCCACACAGCAAAAGGCCATTGTTTAGTTTCTGAAATTAAAAAAAATACAGGATCACTGGAGACTCATTGAAGGCTGGACTGGTACGAGTCTCATGGTATTTGTGTACTTACTTACCTGGGGGATGTCGGTGAATGGGGATGCTAACTCGCCGTGGAACGAACAGTGGAGTTGAAAGATTCATAGCCTAAGTATTTTCCAATAAGAAACTTGTTGGTATCTGGCTAAACTATTGTCACTTCGTGGGCTTTTCTTCATAATGGAGGGCCAGGCTTGTGGCTGGTGTCACACCGGCTGTTCCCAAGACAGCCACTCGAGTGAGGTGCTGGGTTCTTTTTATTGTAAAATGCGTGCATAGGTACAAGAGTATATAAAACACATCCTTTTAATAAGCAATAAAACAAACATCTGTTTACCTATTGATAACCCAGCTTAAGAAATAGAATGTGACCGAGGTTTTTTGGAAGCACTCTCCCAGTGTATTAATACATTTTGAAGAGGCTTTAAAAGAAGGTGATTTTTGAGTAATTAAATTTTGTCTTCTGTTTTCCCCACAAACATAGTAACTTCAGTTTATTCTAGTGGCGGCACTGAGGCAATGTAAAGTCATAGCTAGAGACGAGGGCTCTGCTGTCATAGTCCTGATGGGCTCTGACCCTTGCGCTGTTCACACCTCTTACAAGCTCTGGGACCTTGACTGGGAGGCTTCACCCGTCTTGGGTTTTCTTACCTGTAAAGTGTGGGCTCACTGGTTCCCAAGTGGTGGTGTGAAGGTGAAATTACGCACGTCCGATGTGTTGCACAATGCCTGGCACATAGTGAGAACTGAACCCTTTAAAAAGTTTTTTTTGAATCAAGGCCCTGTGCTAGGGAATAGAGAGTTAAAAAATTGTCAAGGAAGAAACCCAATTGAATGCAAGATTGCTTTTCCCAGGTGTTCTACAGTACCATCTTCCAAAATATTTTGTGCAAACGGGGAGTTTGTGATCCTGCGCAGGAATGGGCTGGGTCCTCGGAGGTGTTCCTTAGGAGTGAAGAAGTGATAGAGCGAGTTCTAGGACTGGGCACTGCCCAGTGACAGGTGGACTCCGTTTACATGGAGTGACTCCTGCTAGGTTTATTATTACTCTTTACTTTTATTTACCATTTGTTTTTCTCTAGCTAGGTCTTGACTCTGCTAACCGGGACTCCCCGTGTGGTTTTGAGCTTGGACCTCAGCAGCACAAGGAGATGTAGCTCAGCGGCTGGTACCGGGAAGCGTATGGACAGGTCTGCGTCACGGCATTTAGGTGCGTCTGAACCCAATCTTTCTCCTTCTGCGGTTCATAATAGAGTTGTGCTGACAGCCCTTTAGTGTTAGAACTCTTGTGCTTGACCTTGCCCTTTGCACATGTCAGCAGTGGTCTAAATGCAATCTAGGGAATAATGAATTGTTAGGTTAATGCTAATGATAAGGTAATGGACTTCTTTAGGCCAAATTCCGAGTAAGTAGATTAAACTAGAAAATAAACGGGCATAGTCTTGCTGCTTATACTAATTACAAGGTAGGAGGTGAATATTCTCGTTTTCCTTTACGTACTTTTGACTTTTTTATCAGCGAACATTTGCGTACCTACTGCTGTTGGTGTTCTCGGTCAGGGTCACAGGTATGAGTCCTGGGGATAAAGAGATTTAAGACCTTTTCTCTCATTCTTTTCCAAGCATTCTGCAATTTCAGTAGTGAGACTAAGCCATATACGTTACAAAGGAGCAGTCCTTTTTTTTTTTTTTCCCTCCTTCCTTTCCTGCTCCTCTCTCCCTCATCCCAAAGCTTGATGGGCATTTCGGTTATTTTAAATTTTTTGCTATTATAACCAGTGCTGCAGGGAAATTTCTTGTACAAATTTTTGGGAGACTATTCATAAGTAAATTCCTGGCAGTAAAATTGTTGGGCATAGAGCGTAAGATTTTTCAGTTTTTTAATTTTGATAGATATTGGCAAATTGTCCTGCAGAGAAACTGCAAGAATTTGCACTCCTACTGATAAACATTCTCTCAAACACTTTGTCTTCTCAGAACTAAATTTATTCAGTATGGTGGGTGGGAAACGTTACATCAATGGTATTTTTATTTATTTTACTTTACATACAGTAAAATTCACTATTCAGATGTACAGTTATAAGAGCTTTCACAAATATTTAGAGGGGATCATTCCTTTTCAAAAAATATTTATTTTCATTTTCTAATAAAAGAAGTCTATGCGTGCTATTTAAAAAAATAAATAAATAAAACTTGGAAAATTCCAAAAATTAGGAAGAAGAAAATATCCTTGATCCTACCACCTAATGACACCACTGTGAACATTTTTGTGTGTTTCTTTTACTCTTTTTGTTTTCTATGTGTAGTTTTTTTTTCCCTTAAGCCATCATCATCAAATTGGATGTGTTACTCTCTCGAAAGTAATATTTATTAACGATGGAGGTAAGGGGGAGATGGTTCTATCTGGGGATACGTACAAAATAAGTGGTCTCCCACCTCTCAGCATTTCAGTTACTACCCTTATATCTCAATCCACAAATCCCCTTCTCTGCTCTGTTCTTTCACAGAGCTTCTCTCTTGAATCTCTGGTGATCTTTGGTGAGCACTTGCCAAATGTACATGCTCCCCCCAACCCAAAGTCAGCATGTCCAGACCTTGTTCATCACCTGCCTTGTCAAACCCTTTTCCTTACTTATTTCTGAAGGAGATGCTCTTGTTTTTGTCCTAGAGGTCATCTTTGACACTAAGTCTTAGATTTTTTTTCTTTGAAATTGCTTCATTTGTCCGTTTTTCTCGTCTCTTCCATCGTCCCAGTTGCCAAGATTCTTATGCTTGAATTAACACAGTAGCTTGTTGATCTTCCATCTTGAGACTCCCCAGTGGTGAACTCCTTCTCCTCTTACCATGTGCCCAGAAACTCCTGTTTCATAAGGCTGTGTTGCATTTACATTGGACTTTTTTCTTTTTGGTGAGGAAGATTGTCCCTGAGCTAACATCCGTGCCAGTCTTCCTCTGTTTTTTGTATGTGGGATGCCTCCACAGCATGGCTTGATGAGCAGTGTGTAGGTCCGTGCCCAGGATCTGAACCCACAAAGCCTGGGCCGCTGATGTGGAGTGCTTGAACTTAATTACATCACTGGGCTGACCCTACATTGGACTCGTGAGACTCCTTTGTCCCTGTGACGGGATTTTTCCTCTCCCTCCCACGGTGTGCTATGGGTAGGCAGTTTTCATGCCCCAAAGACTGGCCGTACTCCTGCCTTTCTCTGGACTCCATGGTGGCCTCCCACTCAGGACTCTCCATCCTTCAAGGCTGACCCCAAGTCCCACTTCCCAAAAATCATTTCTGACCATTTCAAGCCCTGTTGAGTTTCTGTTTCTTTGAGCTGTCATGCAGTTTGATAATCATCTGTAATTCACTAGTTGTCCCAGTCTGCCCAGTTAGATGGTAGATTGTCTCAGGTTTACTCATTTCCATCTTGGTGCTCAGACTGTTGTGGCAGTTCAGGAAACTAGCCAAATAGTTGGTTTATTCCATTTTCTTTGAGACTGTCGGTACAGATCCTAAAATATTAAGCTCTTACTAAACTGAGAAAAAAGAAGGTTTGCTAGTTAGTATCTTTCATCTTTGTTATCAGGAGCATACAGCTGACAGTTCTCTGCCTGGCCGTTCATAGCTGAGAACACCAGCTCTGCCCAGTGCCTGGAGCCTGCAGACGAGTGCCTGGTTCTGATTCAAGTGCATTTTAGAAGTTGATCCACAGATGTGGAGGGACTTGGATATAAACTTGATCAAAAACTTTGAGGGGCTGGCCCCGTAATGTAGTGGTTAAAGTTTGGTGGGCTCCACTTCGGCGGTCCGGGTTCACAGGTTCAGATCCCAGGTGAGGACCTACACCACTCGTCAGCCATGCTGTGGCAGCAACCCACATACAAAATAGAGGAAGATTGGCACAGATGTTAGCTGAGGGCTCATCTTCCTCAAGCAAAAAAAGAGGAAGATTGGCAACAGATGTTAGCTCAGGGCCAGTCTTTCTCAGAAAAAACAACAACAACAACAAAAACAAAACTTTGAGCAGTGAGGAGAAGTTTCTGTTTTATTGGCAGCTGATTTCCGAGAGGCTGTCTGGTAATTCTGATGTTTTTAGTTTACAGACTCTGTGGGCTGTTGACGTCAGTGTCCCAGTTTCTCATTACTAAACATGTTATGTAAAAATGCTGCATTGTTTATAGTTTGATCAGTAGCAACAAGAGAATTAAATATTTACGGGAAAAATTGGGTAGTTTCAAAAACCTATGTAAACACTGATGATGATTGCAGAGCTTACATAAGAAGGTAAGGAAGGAAGTTGGAAGAGTTGTGTAACGGTTACTCGGAAAGAGATTCTAAGCATATTAGAACAGCTCTGGCCCTTTCAGTTGGATATGTTTTAAAATCAACGTGTTAGTGTTGGATTAAGACCAGCTGTTTATAAATTGTCTCAGTTGTTTGCTGACTTGCTGTTTGGTGTGGAAAAATCTCGTCAGTAAATTTGTCCCATTCCTTCTAATGATAATTCTTTTTAATTACAGGTATTATTGTTTTTTTAGGTTTGCTATGCGAAATCAGAAGCTGCGATTCAGTGGTTTTTAAAGCCCCTCTGTATTTGAGTAGTGTTTGCTCTTGGATGAATCCTGTGTTTTATTTAGATTTCTCGTGCTGGTTCTGAGCTTCCACTGAAGAGCCCCAACTCCCCTTATGACCTTGCAGCTTGTGCTTGTTGGCACGTGGATTTCTGCTTTGGCATTTCTTGCATCCGGCTCCCTCCCTCCTTCTCCCAGTGATGTGAGTGTGAGAAGTCAGGGTATGGCACCTGCTCCCCTCCATCAGTGCAGGCTGCGGAGCTGATTGTGTAGGATGCTAATATAGGGTTTGTTCTGATGTTTGAACTAAGATATACGGCCATGCCCATGTTGTGTGTATGTGTGTTGTAAAATCAGAGTATCAGAACACACTCCTTGGATGGAGTCTGATCATGATTACCATGGTTGTGTGCTCTGAAAGAGGGTTTACTTTTCTCTTTTCCTTTTATCCACTTTCTTTAGACTACCGCTGTCCCATACAATTATAATGGGAGTCACATATGTAGTTTTCTAGTAGTTATATTAAATACAGTAAAAAGAAGCTGGTATAATTAACTTTAGTAATATATTTTATAACCTAACATATAAAAAACATTATCACTTCATGTAATCAATGTAAAATTATTATTATTATTTTTTTAAAGAGTCTGTCTTTTATTTATTTATTTATTTTTTGGTGAGGAAGATCGGCCCTGAGCTAACATCTGCCAATCCTCCTCTTTTTGCTGAGGAAGACTGGCCCTGAGCTAACATCCGTGCCCATCTTCCTCCACTTTATATGGGACGCTGCCACAGCATGGCTTGACAAGCGGTGCATCAGTGCGCGCCCAGGATCTGAACCGGAGAACCCTGGGCCGCTGCAGCGGAGCGCGCGCACTTAAGCGCTTGCGCCACCGGGCTGGCCCTGATGTAAAATTATTAATGAGATATTTTACTCTTTTTTTAATGGTACTTCTTTGAAGTCTGGTGTGTATTTTACGCTTATAGCACATCTCTATTAGACTGGTCACACTTTAGTGCTCAGTATTCACATGGGGCTGGTGGCTCCTGCATTGGGTGGCACAACTCAAGGCCCACATTGCTTTATCTACCACTAAGTAATATCTTTTCAGCTTTTGGATTTTTGGGTATTTCATAATGTCAGGCACTTCCATTTATGGATTGTGTAATAAGATATACTCACAGTTGAATGATGCTTCTATCAGCTTCCCCTTTCTCATTGTTTTCCTGTCAGATTGAGAGGTTTCCTATTGCCTGGAAAATGCTTCTGAACCAATTCAACAAGTAAATTGATAGATGGTATTTGTTGATGTTAATTCATTTATTCCCTGGCTTGAGAAGAAAAAATATTCTTCTTAACATACATACATATATATATATGTATAAATTATTTTTTTTTTTAGTAATTTTCTCTTTTACTCAAGAATCACAAATACATTTTGTAGTTTATAATTTTAGACACATTGAAGTTTAGGGTCCAATGAATATTTCTCATTTCTTTTAAAGAATTGATGACCTAGGAAAATGTGAAGAAGTACAGTACTATCGTTAGATTAAAAATGGCCTTTGGAAGAATTGAAGAGAATAAAAGAATATGAGGAAATACAGGAAGATCAGGAATCCCTGAACACAGGAGGTTTGCAGTACA